TAGAATGAAAGCCCTCCCCCTAAGCATCAGAGCCTTTCCACCTGACCCCATTCCCTCATTCCATGGGGCTGTCTGGCCCTTCGACTCCAGCAGGCAGGCTGGTGTGTTATCAGGTGCATGGGTCCAGTTTATCCAGCTGTCTCCCCGTCACCATTCTCTCAGGGCCAACCCCTGGCAGAATTGGGAAGTCACTCCAAGGCCCTCCCCCAGCTTCTGCAGCTCCCTTTTTGTGGCTCCACCAGACACCATTCATTAGTGATGTCTCACCACTGCCCTTACCATCATTATCTCCCTGAACCACAGGCTCCCAGTGCCCTCCTAGGCTCCACCACAATCCACCCACACTTGGCAGTCTCACTGTGCAAACCTGCTCTCAGCTAGCCATCACATGGAAACGGATGTGATCAGTTGAATCACACCATATCAGTGCATGAAAGTCTTTTTAAGCTTTATTCATTTAGGGGATAATTTCTTAACGCAGAGAAATAAAGGTGTTCTAATGAAAGAATTCCAAGCATCAGTAGTAGTCCAGTAAGAGGAATCCTAGTACTCATTAGATTGTGCCAGTAGGCAGCTTTCTAAGGCTTCTTTCTGGCCCCCAGTACACACGCAGCTACTCTGTAATTCATGGGTTTTACTCACCCTTACTCTGTAATTCACACACGTCACTCTTCACCCTCTACCACATAAAAACAAAGCACTCTCTACTACTATTTGTACTTTATGGTGTGTTTTGACTGTCTCCCCTTGTATCCATCCCTGTCCTTTTATTGTTTGGTCTGTGTTTCTGAGGTTTCATATTGCATACTTAAAAAGGAATTGACTCTGTGTCTCTGCAGCATACATCCAGCACCCTGTATTTGATATGTCTGCATGATCATGAGACCCTGGTGAGGGAAGGGAGAATGGAGCTGTAAGCTACCTGTCTCATCCAGCCCATGCGTGTAGCTGTCTGCTCAGGCATTCTTTGTGTCCTCATTTGCCCTGACTCCTTAATCTCCAGACATTTATTATACTCCTACTGTATGCCAGGCGCCATGTGCTAGAAGGGCAAAAGACAGTCCCTGCTCTCAGAGAGTTCACATACAGACAAACTCTGTACAGACAAACTAAGAGCAGAAATCAGGTGATCAAGATGGCAGCGCTAGAGTTAGTTACGTCAGGGCGGGGTTTGAGTTGGGACTGAAGGAAGCCAGGAGGCAGGGATAAGGAAGAGGGAGAGTATTCTAGATGGGTCGGGAGATGAAGCATCTCGTGGAAAAATAACAGCGAAGAGGCACAAGGTGGGAGAAGACTGGAAGCGGGGCGTGGGGGCGGGTTAGGAAGGGCTTTACCAGGGACTCACGTGTGACGTTGGATGTTGGAAGCGATAGGGAGAAGGGGGAGCGCCAGGATCGAATCTACACTTCAGGAAGATCACGGTGACCGCTGAGGGGGAGGACGGATTGGAGGGCAGAGCCTGGTAACAGGGAGACCAACCAGCAAACTATTGCAGGTGGTCGGGTGTGAAGTGATGAGGGCCTCCTCTGCGGCGGGGCAGTGTTAGGAGAGAAGCGGGACTCACGGCAGAGATAACGGGAAGGTAAACAAGCTTGGATCTAGGCGGTAAGAGAGTGAAGAGGAGGAGGGAGCTGGTGTAACTGGGAGGGTGGTGCGACCCTGCAAAGTCAAGGGAGGGTTTGGGGGGAAAGGTAATGTGCATAGTTGTGGACCTTGAAGTTGTCTATGGGCCATCCAGTTTGAGATGCCTAATAGACGGTCTTCATTGTCTCTTCCCACTCTCTGGCCTCTCCCTGTCTTTCATGTATATATCCTTTTTCTACTCACTATTTAATTCAAATTAGTAATTATAAGCTACACACATGTAATCCCAGTAAAAAGGTTTGCTTTGTTTTAGGCATTTGTGTTTGGATAGAATGCGTTTTTTACTTGTGTCTCTATGTGAATACCTAGGCAAGCAGCTCTTGGCAGTTCTGGCTAAGCTCTTGTAAAAACCAACAGTTAATCTTGCGTAATTGGGGGAACACTTCATACACTGGTCTGCCTAGAGATGAGCTGGGAGGGAGGCTGATGCCAGCCCAGAGGTGCAAGGGGCGCCCTCTGCTGGCATGAGGCCTGGCTCCCGCTGAGAAGGAAATAGGTCTGTTTACAGTAATTACTCAGGACCCCCTTTCTCCCACCAATATTCTCATTCTAAAAGTGGGAGAGGGTAAGAAAGGAGATTTTTGAAACATTTTGAAGCATCCTACTCCACTGCCAATCTTAGCCTTCATCCTTTGGAAATACTCAAATAATATATTTCTGTACAAGAGCTTTATAAACTGTAAAGCACCATAGGGCATTTATTATTTTCACTCACATTGTCAGTGAGAAATATATAGCTACAAAATAATGCTGTGTCCTATAAACTGGCTCTGAAGGCAATTCCTGCAGGAGAGTTAAAAAATGCTCGGATTTTTGGCAGCTTCACAGGCGGCACTGAGATAGGATGATGGGATAGAGTACTGGGCCTGGAGTTGGGAAGACCTAAATTCAGATCACACCTCAGACACTAAAATGGCTGTTCAACCCTGGGAGAGTCACTTAACCTATCCTGTTCTCAGTTTCCCCACCTCTAAAGTGAGGGGGTTGGATTTGATGAACTCTGAGGGGCCTTTCAGCTCTAAACCTGTGATCTTAGAAATGAGTCGGTAGCCTCCAGGGGTGGCTGTTTTATGTGATGACCCTCATATGTGTGTATCAGCTGTGGTCTGTTTGTTTAAACATCAGTCCTATGTAACCCATGCACATAGAACAATGTGTCTAGGGAAGTAATGGCCCTGGGGGGACTCTCGTATGTGAGAGAGCTCACTTTTCAGGGTTACATAGCACAGCCTCAACTCTGTAGCACATCGCCGGGAATGAGGAAGCAAACAAGGGATAAGAATAGCTCGTGGTTGAAAGGCGCCTTTTTAGTTATTTGATCTAACTCGATCCTCACAATAAACCTTGGCTCAGAAAGATTAAGTTAACTCGCCCAAGGTCACATTAGCTATTGATTCAACAAGCTTTTACAAAGTGCCTACACTGTGCCAGCCACTGTGCCGGTTACTGGAATACAAATAAATAGTCCCTACCCTTCTGCTGGGGAAGAGTGAAGGCATGAAGACAGAAAAGTCAGTGCAAAGAAGGTTCCTTGGCGGGGAGGTTTCTTGTAGTCAGTGGCCCTTGAGCTGAAGCTGGGGCAGAGGTAAATGTGTCCTCTCCAATCACGGTGGGGCAGGGCCTGCTCCAAGGCAGAGGTCTGGCAGGAGATGGAATGGCCTGGGGCAGGGCCAGTTTGCTGGGATCACAGAATGCCAGCCGAAGGAGGGTGTGCAGTGAGCCTGGAAAGCCCAGTTGGAGCAGACTCTGAAGGCCCCAGAGCTTACTGAGGAAAGGGTGACCCCGTCAGACCTGTGCTTGGCAGGTGTCCGGCTGGCAGCCACGTGGAAGAGGGAAGCCTGCAGGTAGCAGGGGGCAAGAAGGGCCTGAACCAACAGAGTGGTGCTAGGAGGGCAGTGAAGGGGACAGGTGCAAGAGGTGTCAGAGAGGCAGAATTGACAGAATTTGGCAACTGATTGGATACAGTAGGGTGAGGAAGCAAAAAGAATTGAGGAGGACTCAAAAGGTTGCACACTTGGGTAACAGGAAATGTGGTGGTGCCTTCCACAAAAATAGAGAAGTTAGGAAGAAGGGGAGCTTGGGGGGAAGGCCATGAGCTGTGCTTCAGATGTGTGTGGGACATCCACTGGGAATGTCTGATTGGCAAGTGGTTGTATCAGATGGCACTTAGTAGAGAGGAGAGGTAGAGCTGACCTATAGATGTGGTGGGGAGGCAGCCACGTTGAGATGATTCTGAGATCACCCTAGGAGAAGAGAAGAGAGGGCCCAAGCCAGAGGCTTGGGATCCACCCACACAGAGTGAGACCTGGGTGATCTAACAGAGAGACAGGAGGAAGAGGGCTCAAGAAGGCTGAGGAGAAAGTGAGGGAGGAGGCGAGGCAGCAAGCCTGGGCAGCTTCTTCTAGGGGTCTGGCTGTGAAAGGAGTGGGAGACAGCCTGCTGGAAGGGTGCGGTCAAGCAAAGGCTGGGATGAGCTTTTTGGCCTCAGAGGAGAAGCTGGTAAGCTAGGAACACAGGGGAGACCAGAGAGAGGAGGTGACTGGGGAGGGGGTTGGGGCTTGATATTGATGAACTCTTTTCCTGGGAGAGCCTCCTCACCCGTGTTTCCTGTTGCACTGGATGCTGCTGAAGAGGCCTCTTTATCTCATTTCCTAACCTCACCAGATTAGAAACAAGCAGCAGGTGAGGCTTAGAGGGAATTGAGTAGGGGGGAGGAGGGGAAGAGGAACTATTAAAATCAACCACAAGAACTCAGAAAGCACATCAGTCTGGATTGATTGATTGACTGGGGAGGCAGCCCTGTCTGCTCTCCCTGGTTTTCTGTCCTGGTGACAGCAAAGAGCATTCTGCAGTTTAGAGGGGTTGCATCGCATAGGGAAAGTGCTGTCTGTCAGCTTAATCTGCAACACTGACCAACATTCTGAAGAAGCTGTTCACAGACAATTACTATTTCAAAGTTTTGAAGGATGTATAATAATAAAAATGAGCCATATGTTGTTTTTTCCTTTGGATACAATTCTTTTTTTTTTTAATGATATTTCAAGGGTGAAGATTCAAGGAAACTACCTTTAAAACATTGAAAATTGGAGGGGAAGTGGCTGCGCTTTTTAAATGTGTATCATTGGCTAGAAAGTATATTTTAAGTATGTAGAGATGTGACATTTTCAGAGTGAATTCTCATTATGTGGAAGGGTCCCACAGACCTAAATGAGTAAAAGCCACTGCTGTAGGGCCGCAGATGGGCCGGGACTCCATGTGAGGCTGAAGCATGGAGTAAAACCAGCACTTCCCGCAGGACTAGAATGGAATAGCTCTTGGGTGGTGATGAGTGCTTTCATCCCTTTTCTTTCTGATAGGACGTAATGAGCCGCTGAAGAAGGAGAGGCCCAAGTGGAAGAGTGACTACCCCATGACAGATGGGCAGCTGCGGAGCAAGCGTGATGAGTTCTGGGACACAGCGCCTGCCTTCGAAGGCCGCAAGGAGATCTGGGATGCGCTGAAGGCAGCCGCCTTTGCAGTGGAGGCCAACGACCACGAGCTAGCTCAGGCCATCTTGGATGGAGCTAGCATCACCCTGCCGCATGGTGAGCAGGGCGGGGGCAGAGCCAGGGGGATCATCAGAGTAACGGGGGGTCTGGGCTGAGGTAGCGGGGCAGCCGGTGGTCAGACATCAGGAGTCCAAAGAAGGTTTGGAGTAGATCTCGGGGGGTGAGGAGAGGGGAGAAGTTCCCCATCATTTTTCTCATGTCTTGTTCTTCCTGTAGGTTCTCTGAGCGAGTGTTATGATGAGCTAGGCAATCGCTATCAGCTCCCTGTCTACTGCTTGGCTCCGCCGGTCAACTTGCTTCTGGAGCGCAGTGAGGATGATGGGGTGGAACCTCCAGAACCAGCCCCCAGTACCCGGCGGGAGTTCCCTCTTAAGGTGCGCCTGTCCACCGGCAAGGACGTGAGGCTCAGCGCCAGCCTCTCTGACACAGTCGGGCAGCTCAAGAGGCAGCTGCATGCCCAGGAGGGCCTGGAGCCTTCCTGGCAGCGCTGGTTCTTCTCCGGGAAGCTGCTCACGGATCGCATGCGGCTACAGGAGACCAAGATCCAAAAGGATTTTGTTATCCAAGTTATCGTCAACCAGCCCTTGCCACCCCAGGACTGACGTTCCCAGAGGGAGGGCAAGGAAAGGGGCTCCTTCCTCCACCTGGAACACCAGGCTTCCCCTCCTGCTGCCCTTGGGTACTGTCATTCTCTTCAGGTGAAACCTTCCTTGGTTGCTGCTTTGTGGGCAGTGAAGGAACACTGCCAGCTGCATCTGGGGTTACTTGACAAAGGCTCTGAGAAGCAGTGCTGCTACATACAAGCCCCCAGAAATAGGGTTTTTTGCTGATCCCGGTGCAAGAAATGCAGAGGATTGCTCACTTCTCCTGGGTTAACAAGGTGGCCTTCTAGCTACACCTCTCCCATGGCAGGGTAGGGCAAATCACTTCTGGCTAAAGGGCCAGCAACCCATGGCCCATTGGGCCCAGATCTATCTAGTCTGGTGCTGTAGGCTGTGCTTACTACCAGCTTATTCCTCAGGGTTGGAAGCAGCTTCTGCCTCCTCTCTACCCCCAGCTCTGTTGTGGGCATGGTGCCAGCTCCCCAGTAGTGAAGGGGAACAACAGTGAGTCCCAGGGAGTGGTGAGAGCTGGTGAGGGCCATCACCTCTTTCCCTGCCCCAGCACAATTGGCAAGGATGAGGGTGTATGGCAAAGATGTAGCCTGAGCCTTTCCAGAATATTTCTGGACAAAATCATCTTCCCAGATGGAACCCTAGCATGGCTGTCTCCAGGCTGGTTGTCTTTCCCATGGTGGGTCCTTGTGTACAGAAATATTTGCATATTTATCAATAAAGCCTTTTGCTCCTTCTGTCTCATCTGGTGCTTGATGTCTCCCTCTCATAGGTCTCTTCTAGAATGCTAACTCAGGATTCCCTAGAGCCCTCCAGTACTGAACATTAGAGTTAGACATACGTTTTCAATGTACCAAAAGCTAAGGCCCAGCTGAGAAGTATAAAGTGACTAGTCCAGGGTCGCACAGCTAGTAAATGACTGAGCCAGAACTTGGACCCAAGCCCTGGGATTCTACCATAGCTTCCCTGTTAAAGGGCAGGGTCAGCAGGAGCTCTGGGGCCAGAACATCATTGAATCCTGGAAGCCCCTCTGAGGAGCCTGACTACAGCAGAGTTTTCCTGGGCCAGAGTTGCTGAATTTGACTCTGGGGTCATGGCATACCCACTTGTAGACTGGTGGGGCACGGACACAGCTGACGTGGCTTCTAGCCTTGCACAGCTGGTTCTCAGAAGCCAAGGAGCCGAGGACCCACAGCTGCCGAGTTCTGTTCCTGAATTGTGATTTTGATAGCTGACTCCAGTTGTCTGATCCACCCTTTCTGGAGCCCTCTTTATTCTGAAGCATCCCCGTCCCCAAGAGGAAGTCAGCGTCCTTTTCTGTAGTGCAGGCAGTGTCTGCCAGGAGATGCCATCCCTCATTAGCTGGTGTCTTGAGCATACCAGTAACTCCTTGTCTTTCTGTCTTAGAACAGTGCTAAGCCGAGGCATGAGCCTAGGGATCTTCCTGTGCCCAGAAGGTGGTGCTGTGAGCCTGGAGCTGGCCCCTGCTCCCTGTGCTCAGGGCAAAATCGGACTCCTTTTGGCCCTTCATTCCAAACCTGGCTAGCACCCAGGAGCAGGCACATAAGGGAGAGTGCACTGTCCCCAGAACCTCAGTGGCAGCTCCTCACTATGCTGCCTCCCCCTCGTGCCTCGGTCTACCCAGAACAGTTTGCTTCTTCAAAATCACAGCCCCCACTTGCTGTGTCTGCTCACACAGCTGGGCTCCCTCCAGGCAATTGCTTGGATTTGAAGGTGACCCAGGGTGAGGGGAGGCCGTTAGTGAATTCAGCCGGTGAGCTCATGACAAAAGCTCTCAATTCCTCCCGGGGAGGGGGGGGGTCCAGCTCTATAAAGGCTCTGCCGTCTGGTCGGGCCAGGCCAGCATTGTGAGGCTGGGGGCAGAAGCTTGGTTCCATGGCCATGGCAGGCTCCGAAGAGGTTCAGAGGGCAACAGAGCTGATTGAGCAGCGGCTGGCAGAGGAAGAGGAGAATCAGGTACTGGGACTTGGAGGGGAAACAGGGGGGATGGATGGAGGGAAGCTCTCTTGGGATCCAGAGCTATACTGAGGATAGAGAAGGACTTGGAGCTGTAGCTAGTGAATTTGAGAGAAGGGATGGGCTCAGGAGGGACAGGGGTAGTGAATGTTAAAAGGTAAAATATTCCCCTATTTGGGTTCCTGAGAATTATTTATCCTGGGGGGAAAGAGGATCATCCCTAATCTCGTGTGACTCCTTTAGGGGTCACCTCCAGGTCGCTAGAATCTTGCTGCCGGTACCTGGGGTCCATCCTAGAAGTGATGTCTTGTACCCATCCTGCTGATGATTGAGGGTCTCAGAACAAAGAGAAGCCCACCCATGAGAGAAGCTAGGAAAAAGGGCAAAGTTAAACACTGCTGGAACTGGGGACCAAGACAGGGCAGTGTAGCCATTTGGGAGAGCAAAGGTAGGCTAAGGGGTCATTGTTTTAAGGATGTCTTCCAGGAGCAGCCAAAGCAGCAGGCGACCCTGAAATGACAGGGTAGAAGGCAATTTTTCACCCTCTGTATGAAGTCACCAGCAGCTGTATAGAAGAGCAGGACAAGGAGAGGGGAAACCTGGTTTTGGAAACTGGAGAAGTCAAAAAGTCAAAGGAAAGAGGAAGGGATAAAAGAGGAGGAAGTGAAGTGTCAACCAGAATTTGCTGGAACTTGGGCCAGGACTCAAATAATGTGGTAGAGTGTGGGCACAGGGTTGAAATCTCTACTTCCTCTCTGTGTTTGTCAGTGTCTTAATGTCTTTGTCACTTTCTCTGTCTCCCTCTGTGTGTCTTAAACACACACACCAGCTTATGAATCCCACTTTTCACTGGCCAAAAGCGTGAAAGTGAATCAGTGTCATCTCCGTCCTGGAGCCCTGCCACTGACTTTCTGACACATGAAGTCCAAGGACTCAGCAGTCCTCCATCCATTCATTCAAAGTTCAGAGAACTTAGGACATAGGGTGATCACAGGACCAGGCTACATTCAAAGAGAGGGAAACAGCCCTGGCCTGACCAAGATTTTCAAGTTTTGAGTCTAAATTCTAAAAAACAAAGCCGTCAAATACCCCCCAGGCTGGGACTAGTTAGGGCATCAGTGTTCAGTACCTTATGCCAAGTGTCTTGGGGCAAATGCTCCCGTTTGTCCTTAGAGGACAGTCTGAGTTCAGCTGATATTTTGCAGATTTTAAGTTGGGGTGGGATTAAGTCATTTCTAGTTTGGGGGATCCTCAGGAAGTCTGGGCAGTTCTACTTTTGGTGTAGAAGCCAACTTGTTGAATAGCTATGAAATTCCAAGCTGAGCTATGCCATTTCCCTAAGACCATGGCCCAGTCAAGAGCCAAAACCCCGTCTCATCCTGGTCTAGCTAGATTCTGTACCTTGGGGGTGGGCTGTAAGGGAGAGTAAGGGGGAGTAAGAAGCAAAGCTGACTCTAATTGTGGCAGAGCAGGAGGGGAGTGGGAGGCAGGTACATATTGTTCAGCTCTCAGTTCAAGGACATTTGGCCGCCTCACTCAAAACTGCCAAAATGAGAACTCGTTCCATATCCAGGGAAATGTCAAGAGAACAATGTATCAAATCATAAATAATTCTATGGTAAGAGAGGGAACATAAAATAAGACTTTTATGAGAATGGGAAAAATATGTATGGTCTAATTTTTTAAAACATTTAATTTTTTAAGCCTAGTTTCCATACTCTCCCCTTATTTTTATTTGATTTTTTGGCTCAGTTATGGAGTCTAAGCCCTTTGTCTCACTGTGACTGTCCCATTACCTTATGGTGTGCACATATGTACTAAGCACCTACCACGTGCCAGGGTCACCTACTATGTGCTAAGCCCTGAGTCAAGTGCCCCCATAATGTAAGAATGGAAACATCTCAATTAGAGCTCTCTAAATATAGAATAGGCTGTCTCAGGAGGCAGTGGGTTGATTCTCTCTTACTGGAGGCCTTCCAACAAGAGTTGGATGACTGCTTGAGAGGAATGATGTGGAAACAAGTGTTACTTAGGTGCAGATCAGGCTAGCAGACCTCCAGTCCCTTCCAACTCAGATTCAAGAATGTGTGGTTTTGTTGGTATTGGGTACTCCACTGTCACAGGTAGTCATCCTTCTGTCAAACTCACAGTCGTAAATGGTCTTTAAAAAGCTAACCCTGTAGTGAACCTCCCTGGCCTTGGTAATACTGTGAGTAACACCTACTAAAGCTCAAAGTGTCCCCTGACTGCCTTTGAGAATCCAGAGTCACCTATGTGAGGCACCAGAGTAGGACTTCAGTGGAGGCAACATCTATATTAATTACTACAAAACATATCTTATTCCTCCACCCACAAAATTGGTCTGAGTCAAAAGCGGTTACCTAATAAGTACCTAATAATTCATTAATCATTACCCTGAGTTAGGACAGGAAGTAGGAAAGGGTTCATTGTGGAGAGATGGGACAAACAGGAAATCAGGAGTCTGAGAAATGGCCCCCTCCAGTTTCTGGCTTCTTTGCCGCCAGTGGCAATGCCAGGATGTGATTCTCTCTGGCGTAGTTGTGGCCTAGAAACCCTACATCTTTCCCTTTCCCCTCAAATTAGCTTTATCTCCCTCCCAGCCTTCTACCCACACTACTCCCGACCCTTGAACCAGTCCCTGATTTTAGATTCCCCAATCTGTAACCTGAGAATCCACTCTGAGAATAATGGGGACCTGGGCACATGCTTCTGAGTGGTATGAGAAGAGGCATAGATTCCAGTGAAGGTAGCTTGATGTTTTCCTGATGATATGGGCAGCTAGATGGTGCAATGGATAGAGTGCTAGGCCTGGAGATAGGAAGACCTGAGTTCAAATCTGGATTCAGACGCTTACTAGTTTTGTGACCCTGAGCCAGTCTTTTGACTTCTGTGTACCTCAGTTTCCTCATCTGTAAAATGAGGATAATATTAGCACCTACCTCTCAGGGTTTTTGTGAGGATCAGATGAGATAATGTATACCTAGCATAGGGCCCAGCACATAGTAAGTGCTGTATAAGTATTGTCATCATCTTTCCTGGAAACTGATGGGGTTATTTGGAATAATAATGATGATGATGATAGCTAGCATTTACATAGTGCTTTAAGCTTTGCAGAGCACTTTACAAATCTCTCACTTAATCCTCCCAACAACCCTGTAAGTTAGATGCTATCATTAACTCTAAGTCATAGATAAAGCTGAGGTGGAGAGAGGCGTGGCGCCATGCAGCTAAGTAAGTGTCTGAGGCAGTATTCAAACTCAAGCCTTCCTTACTCCGAGGGTGACACTATCCACTGCACCATCTGGCTGCCCAAGAAGGAGTAATACGAGGGAAGAGAGTTTGAACCCTGCAGCAGTTGTGAAGATGAGAAGGTCCTGCCTGTGGAACAGGGAAAAGGAAAGGGAAATCAGGGATGCTGTTTGTCTGGGGACTTTACCAGTTACAGACTTGGTGCCATTAAAATGAGATTCATCCAACCTGGCCTAGTGGAAAGAGTAGTACTGTGCCACCGAGGTAGGAGATCAGAGTCCTGGCTCTTCCTCCACCTCTAATTAATTGTGTGACATTGGGCAAGTCGCTTAACCTCAAAAGGCTGAAATGGCCTGGGGCGGATGAGGATACCAACTTAGCTGCCTGAAGACAGAGGGCTGGACTGAATGGTCTCTGGAATGTGTCACCACCTCTACCTTCTTGGGGGTCCTTGTGTTTCAATAGAAAGATTTTACTGGATTTGGAGTCAGAGGACC